GTCAAAGAGAAGTTTGGTTAGTATTTTAGTGTCTCTCTAGGTATTCTCCCCCTAACTGTATAGATATATTTATAGTAAGTATATTAGCCTGCTTGGACTGCCGTAACAAAATACTATAGACTAGGTAGCTTAACAACAGAAATGTATTTTCTCAGTCTCTGGAGGCTGAAAAGTTAGAGATCAGTGTTCTAGCAGAGTTCAGTGAGAACTCTCTCCCCAGCTTATAAATGGCCACCTTCTTGCCATGTATTCTCACATGGCAGAGAGCACAGTTGTCTCTTCTTTTTAAAAAGATAACAGCCTTATCAGATTAGGGCTCCGTCTTTATGATTTCATTTAAAGTCATAAATTACTCTCTCAATACAAACACATTGGGAGTTGGGGCCTCAATATATGAATTTGAGGGGGACAAAATTCAGCTCTAGCATTCTGCCTCTGGTCCTCCAAAATTCACATCCCTAAAACCTGCAAAATGAATTCATTCATTCCAGCATCAATTCAAAAGCCTAAAAATTCATTTAAATATCAACTAAATTAGACATGAGTGAGAATTCAGTTATGATTCACCCTGAGGCAAAATTCCTCTCCAGCTGTGAACCTGTGAAACCAAACATGTGCTTCCAAATTACAATGGTGAGGCAGAAGGATAACCTCACTCCACCAGGGAGAGATAGGAAAGAAGCGACAAGTCTCAAGCTAGACCAAAACCTAGCAAGGCAAATTCCATTAGATCATGAGGATAGAGAATAATTCTCTTTGGTTCAATGACCCTTCCTCCACTGGAGTGGCACGGTCACTCCCACAGTTCTGCAGAAGGGCCCTGGCCCCATAGTTCTCAGTGGTGACCACCCTCTGAAACAAAAGGAAACATCTCTGTCCCCTGGGCCTGTGCTGAGAGTGGCAGCCCTGATATTCTCCAAATCACCTTCTGGGTCACTTTTGCCTTTCCTCAAGAACAACACATGTTTACAGTCAAATAACACTATGATTGAGTCTTGAAGAATTCAAGAAATCCAACAGCCTTCCTTCATTCCATCCATCTTTCTCTGTCCCCTGTCGTTGAAATTGGCAATGTCTCTGCTGGTATAATTCCATCTCTATTCCTGGCTTCTGCTGATGGCTGGTTAAGTCCATGAGTCATACCATGATCTCTTTAGTATTTTGTTCAGAACAAGATTTTGTCATTTTTCACAAAATATAGGCTAAGGATAGGCTAAGAATTGCCAAATCTCCAAATCGAGTTCCTTTTTATTTAACAATTTCATCTTCAATTCAACCCTCTCTTCTGGCATTTTACTATAAGCAATATGGAAGACCAAAGGCATATCTTCATTATTTAGCTTAGAAATCACCTCTGCTAAACACCCAACTTGATCACTTATAAACTGTACCTTTCACAAAACCCTCAAACAATTCAGCTAAGTTCATTGCCACAAGGATCACCTTTCCTCCAGTTTCCAATAAACCATCCCTCAGTTCCATCTGACACTCCTCCAGAACATCCTCTAATATCCGTTTCTCCCAACAGTCCCTTGTTTGCACCTCAAAATTCTTCCAGTGTTTATATCCATTACCCAAACTTCCAAAGCCACTGTCACATTTTTAGGTATTTGTTACTGCAGCACCCCAACTCTCAGTACCAAAACCTATACTAGTCTACTCAGCTGCCATAACAAAACACCACAGTATAGATGGTTTAAACAATAGAAATTTGTATTCCACAGGTTTAAAGTCTAGGAAGCCCAAGGATAAGGTGTCAGCTGATGGGTTCCTGATGAAAGTTCTCTTCCTGGCTTGTAGACGGCCACCTTCTTCCTCCATTCCCCCACAGAAATCTCTAAGGGTATCAGCCCTATCAAATTAGAGCCTCATTCTTACATTTTCAATTAACCTTTCTCATCTGTTCACAGGCCCTATCTCCAAACAGTCACACAAGGGGCCAGGGCTTCAACATATGAATTTTAGGGGTATGCAATTTGGGGTGTATAGCAAAAACTCTTAAATTATACATATATACATACCTATGTATATGCACATGCACATAAAGAGAGTAAGAGTTTTGTATATTTTAATTTAGTTTCATGAAAATTTCCCTATTCAAATCAAATCATAATATTCAAATCTTATGAGTATTAAATTTACTGTTGCTTATTAAGTCATTTTCAAATTTTGCTATTTAAATATTTTGAAATGAACATCTTTCTATACAAATCCTTGTCAGTTTCTTGATTATTTAGGACAAATTTCCAGAAATTCAACCGCTGAGTCAAAGGTTACGGATTTTTAAAACCTCTTGGTACATATTATCAAATGGCTTCCCACAAACCTATACTAGTATATACTGCCATCTGCAGTAGATGTTATAATTAGAATAAAAATATTTTTCTAACTGAAAAAAAGCCAGTGTCATAAATGACTAAAAAGGCAAGTTTTTTATTAAAGGAGATTAAAGATTCAGGACAACTGAGTAAAAATGTGCAATTCTTGATTAAACTATACGCTGGTGCAAGGTAAGCCTATGAAAACACTTGGGGGACAATTGGGGAATTCTTAATATTAACTATATATTATATATAATTAATATATATAATCAATGTTAAATCTCTTGATTCTAATAATGGTATTTTGGTTATGCAAAGTGTTCTCTTAGGAGACACATGCTGTCATAAAGTCTGATATTTATATTCAAATGATTCAGAAAACACACATGTATATTTTTATGTATGTGCATACACAGACAGAAATGGGAAACATCAGTAGGGAGGAAGAGAAGCAAATTTGGCAAAATGTTAATCACTGAATCTAGTAAAAGATAAACAGGTATTCAACGTACTGTTCTCTCAACTTTCCTATAAGTTTAAAATTTTTCCAAATAAAAAGATATTAGAGAGTAGTCAAAAGACAGGGATAGGTTATGCATATAAAACAAATTGGGCTTCCCTGGTGGCTCAGATGGTAAAGAATCCACTTGCAACACAGGAGACGTGGGTTCAATCCCTAGGTTGGAAAGATCCCCTGGAGAAGGGAAGAGATACCCACTCCGGTATTGTGGCCTGGAGAATTCCATGGACAGAGGAGCCTAGGAGCCTACAGTCCATGGGGTCACAAAGAGTCGGACACCACTGAGCAACTTTTCACTTCACGTCACATAAAACACATTAGCTGGGAAACATATTAAAAAAGTAAGAGAATTCATAAATGCTGATTATTTATATCCTCTTTATTTCCTCCTGCCCTCTAAGCATTTGCTCTTTAATCATGTGAACTGCATTTCATCAAATGGAACCAAGAAGGAATGGAAGAGAAAGCTCAATTATTCCATGTCACTTGCATTAGCCATCTTGGAAAAAGACTTAAAAAGATTAAAAACTCAAAATTATCTCATTACAATGAATTTTGGAAAGACTTAGAGACTTTAATTCACAACTTGGTGTTCAATTCAGATTCTTCTTGTCTCCCATGACTCTAAATGCTTGATAAATACTACTTCCCAAATGGGAAAAATGAAAGTAACAAATCATATGTGAAATAGGTGTTATTTAAGTAAAGAAAAAGTACTGACCTCTGCCAGTAGTCTCACTTTTATCAGGAAAGTAAGTAGCCAATAGAATAGAAGACAACCAATAGATTTATAAACCATGGATAGACTCCTTCTCAAAAACAGTATGAAGTAGTATAACATGGTGGTTCAATGCTATAGAGTCAGACTGTTTGTATCTGAGTATTTACATCATCACTTACTAGCTATTTGACCTGTGGCAAATAACTCAATCTCAGTTTCCTCATCTTAAAAATGAGGAAAACAGTAAAATCTGTCTTAGGGCTGCTGTGAAGATTTAAAAAGTTACTACATTTTAGCTCTTATAGCAGCATCTGGCAGACTGTAAAACCTCAAAATATGTTAGCGGCTATGGGTCTTATTATTAGCGGCATTACTACAATAACGACTAACGCTGTTCCCAGGACGATCAACCTGCCATTGATAAGAGTTTGGCACTGATTCAGAAACACCACAGCAACATGAAAGAAACAACACAGGCACGGCCACCCCCACAGGCTGAAAAAGTGAAAGGGAATTGATTTCCGGTCAGACCTCTGGTGTCTCCTCAAGCCATTCTGAGAGAAACTGAAAAGATACCAATACACCAACAATGCACAGCTCATTTCAAAAAGGAATCTGTGTGGTCTGGATAAGTTAACCTCAAAGGAAATAACAAATTCTCTCCCTCAGTTAATCATTTATCAAACTTTACCGAGGCTTACTGAGTTCCTCCCAGGTGTCACTAGTGCATAAAGAACCTGCCTACCAATGTAGGAAATATAAGAGACCCGGGTTCGATCCCGGGTAGGGAAGAATCCCCTGGAGGAGGAAATGGCAACCCACTCCAGTATTCTTGCCTAGAGAATTCCATGGACAGAGGAGTCTGGTGGGCTATAGTCCATGGGGTCACAAAGAATCAGACACAACTGAAGTGATTTAGCCCACACACACATATTATATTATCAGGTGTTGAGCCAGATGCTAGGAATACAAATTTTGGCCTTTAAAAATGTTGCATTCTTGCCAAATAAATATATATAGATTATAACACATGATGATATATACAGGACACAGGGAGCGCAGGGAAGACCTAAACTAGACTGGGGAGAAGAAGGGAACCGCGCGAAGAGTGTCCAGAGGCAGAAACTCTTAAAGGGCAATAATAGATAAATGGGGACAGAATGGGAAAAATCACTCCTCTAGGGGTAAAAGCTGGTAAATAGAGGGAAAAGAAGCCCCACTGCCCTACCTACAGCCACACAAAACCAAAAGAGCTCTTCTTAAAGCTAACAGGGAGATAGCCATTGGGAGGATGAGCCTGAATAAGGTCTATTTCTGGAATATCTTCTGTTTATACATACCACATCTCTCCAACCTCCCAACTCAAAATAAGCCACATTTGGAGAACTGACAGAAAGTTGTGATTAAGAAGAGATTCAGAGACAAGTTTCTCACTTACAGCACTGGGCGGCAGCAGCAGGCAATCGCTTCCTCTGGCTTTCTTCTTGACTAGAATACTAGGGGGAGAAAGGAAAAAAACGAGACAAAACATAGTAAGAGGCCCAAGTAAAGAGCAAGGGGGAAAGAAAACAAACAAAATATAGCTACCTATAAAAAGCTTTAGTGTTTGACTGGAGTCAGATTTCTTATCAAACAGAAACAGATCATCCTGCTGTTGACTTTCCTCTGTGATCCTGACATACAGGCCAGACTATCAGATATGGCACTGGCCCAGTGTGACACGCTAAACCAGGAGAGCAGAAAGTTGGCTCTGATCAAGGTCAGCTGGGCACCATTCTAGCTCTGCCAGGCAGTAGTGGAAGGCTTTAGTCTTAGAAGATTTAGAGGACTTAGAAAACTCAGATAATGTATAGATTTCCCCATCTGGGTGATGGAACTGAAAACCTCTCTGAGACTTGAGTTTTCTCCACTGTTAAAAAGAAAAAAAAAGTGGTTCTTCCCTCACAAGATCCCGTGGGAAGTGAAATCACTTACGTAAGCATGCCATACAACATCTGGTATTTACTAGTCTCCTTCCCAGTTATACTCTAACCTCCCCAACACAACTCACCACTACCACCACAAAAAAAAAGACCACTGAAGCCATAGAAAGAAAGTTCCGTAAAAGGAAGCCAAATTAAGTTCATGTACTGAAGATGGGCAAGATTTAGAGAGGCAAAGCAAAAAAACATAAACAAATTAACACAGATACAGAGAGTCTGGCAGGCAACATGTGTTTGGTTCAGAGCCCACTGGAAGACCGGAGAAATGTGAGTCCACATGGTTCAGAAACTCATAAAGGTAAGCTGGAAACGTGAGTCTTCATCCTGACTCTGCCATTTATTAATAGACTGCAGATTCTGGGCAAGACAGAACTTCTCGAACACTGAAGGTGTCATCCATTCAACAGATATTTCTTAGGTGTCTATTATGTGTAAGGCCTTGTTCCAGGCACTGGGGGAATAGAAATCACGGTAAGGAGTTCAGACGTTACTCTAGTCTGTTGAGAAGCTGTGTGAAGTTTTAAACACCAGAGATATGACTTGATTACGCTTTAAAGTTCTGCTGTGTGAGAAGAACTGTAGGGAAATACAGGAGAAATAAGACTAGTTATTGGAATTATTCAGATGAAAGTTGATTAGTGGTTTACACATGAATGTTAGTGGTGAAGGGCATTTCAAGCGGTTGGATACAAAATACAAAACACTTTTCGTATATAAACATACTCTTCTATATAAAGTACTTTACAAGCAACAAACTACAATACGAATACCAGAGGCAGACAATGCTACTACTACCTCCATTACAGTAAGGAGCAGAAGTCAAGCACAGCTTAAACAATATAATAGTATTAGTAAAACTGTCAATCTAAAAAAGTTCAAAACTTCCCTTTAGGAAGTTGGCCTCTAGCCAAGCAACCCACTCCACAAGTAACAAAGGGACTTGATTATAATAACTATATAAATAATGATGATTTTTATAGATAGTACACAGGCATAATAGTGAGGAAATCATAAAACTTTAAGCATTAAACTAGAAGATTCAGACTTAATAGATGAAGCAGATATTTCCAGAAGACATGTTTAACGAATCTCTTTAAGTTCCAAGCAGAAAGCTAAAGACCACCTACAATCTAATTAATAATATTAAGAGATCTAAGGAAAAAAAATCCATAATATTTATCTACAGAAAATATAAGTATTATAAGTAAGGAAAATTATAGGCCAATCTCATTTATGGAAATGGATGCAAAAATCCTACATTATCAAACAAAATCATATGATAGTCATTATATATGTTAATATTTCCATGTGACTATGTATGTATATGTATGCATATGTAAGAATGTTGACATATAAATAATGTATCATGACCAAAAGGACTTTAAAGGATAGTTCAATATCACATAAAGAGATTAAAGGAGAAAAACTATGATCTAACAATGCAGAAAAAATCTTGATAAAACCCCTTACTTTTTCATGATAAAATACCTTAGAAAATAAGATTTTCCTTAATCTGATAAAGGGTATCCATCAAAATCTATAGCAAGTATCATACTTCAAGACTCATGAAGTATTCTCTCTACAGTCAGGAAAAAGACAAGGTTTCTCCACTTTCTCTATTAAAAATTACACAGGATATTTACACAATGACATTTTTAAAATAAGAGGTCATCAAAAACAAGGAATGTCTGAAAAAATATCGCAGCCAAGAGTAGGCTAAGGAGACGTGACACTTAACTGTAACACAGTGTCTGTACGGGGTAAGGGTACTGAAAACCACATGAGAGAAAAATCTTAAAAATTTTTTTAAAACCTAAGGATTTTTAGTTAATAAAATAAATATAAATATAAAATATTAACTTTTAGTTAATAATAAACATATCAATAAGGGCCCATTAACAAAGCTAGTGGAGGTGATGGAATTCCAGTTGAGCTATTTCAAATACTGAAAGATGATGTTGTACAAGTGCTACACTCAATATGCCAGCAAATTTGGAAAACTCAGCAGTGGCCACAGGACTGGAAAAGGTCAGTTTTCATTCCAATCCCAAAGAAAGACAAAGCCAAAGAATACTCAAACTACTGCACAACTGCACTCATCTCACACGCTAACAAAGTAATGCTCAAAATTCTCCAAGCCAGACTTCAGCAATACGTGAACCGTGAACTTCCAGATGTTCAACCTGGTTTTAGAAAAGGCAGAGGAACCAGAGATCAAATTGCCAACATCCGCTGGATCATTGAAAAAGCTAGAGTTCCAGAAAAACATCTATTTCTGCTTTATTGACCATGCAAAAGCCTTTGACTGTGTGGATCACAATAAACTGTGGAAAATTCTGAAAGAGATGGGAATACCAGACCACCTGACCTGCCTCTTGAGAAATCTATATGCAGGTCAGGAAGCAACAGTTAGAACTGGACATGGAACAACAGACTGGTTGCAAATAGGAAAAGAAGTACGCCAAGGCTGTATATTGTCACCCTGCTTATTTAACTTATATGCAGAGTACATCATGAGAAATGCTGGGCTGGAGGAAGCACAAGCTGAAATCAAGATGGCCAGGAGAAATATCAATAACCTCAGATATGCAGATGACACCACCCTTATGGCAGAAAGTGAAGAAGAACTAAAGAGCCTCTTGATGAAAGTGAAAGAGGAGAGTGAAAAAGTTGGCTTAAAGCTCAACATTCAGAAAACTAAGATGATGGCATCTGCTCCCATCACTTCACGGGAAATAGATGGGGAAACAGTGGAAACAGTGTCAGACTTTATTTTTCTGGGCTCCAAAATCACTGCAGATGGTGACTGCTGCCATGAAATTAAAAGACGCTTACTCCTTGGAAGGAAAATTATAACCAACCTAGACAGCATATTAAAAAGCAGAGACATTACTTTGTCCACAAAGGTCCGTCTAATCAAGGCTATGGTCTTTCTAGTGGTCATGTATGGATGTGAGAGTTGGACTATAAAGAAAGCTTAGTGCCGAAGAATTGATGCTTTTGAACTGTGGTGTTGTAGAAGACTCTTGAGAGTGCCTTGGACTGCAAGGAGATCCAACCTGTCCATCCTAAAGGAGATCAGTCCTGAGTGTTCACTGGAAGGATTGATGTTGAAGCTGAAACTCCAATACTTTGGCCACCTGATGTGAAGAGCTGACTCATCTGAAAAGACCCTGATGCTGGGAAAGATTGAAGGAGGGACAAGAAGGGGACGACAGAGGATAAGATGGTTGAATGGCACCACCAACTCGATGTAGATGAGTTTGGGTGAACTCTGGGAGTTGGTGATGGACAGGGAAGCCTGGAGTGCTGCAGTCCATGGGGCTGCAAAGAGTCGGACATGACTGAGCGGCTGAACTGAACTGAATTGAATTGTAATAAATGTACCATACTAATGTAAGATGTTACTAATAAGGAAAACTAGAGGGAGGGGGAGGATAAGAGGTGATATGGAAACCCCCTCTACCAAGTGCTTAATATCTTTGTAAACATACAACTGCTGTAAAAAATAAATTCTGTTAATAAAAACAAATGTGCAAAAAATTTCACTTAAAAAATAAGACATAAGGATGAGAAAGGAAAAAACTTACTAATCAAAAATACAAAAACTAAAACACCCAAAGGAATTTCTAAACTAGTAGAATTACAAGTTGTTAAATAAGATGAATGCTTAAAAAAAAAAGATTGAACAGCATAGCCTTATATAGATAGCGATAAACTACTAGAAAATGTAATTTTAAAATATACCATTCACAATTACTAGGAATAAACTTAACAAAAGAAGCGTAAAACTGCATGGAGGGGCTTCCCTGGTGACTCTGGTGGTCTCTGTGATGAAGAATCTGTCTGACAATGCAGGAGACACCGATCTGGGAAGATCCCACAGCCACAGAGGAACTAAGCCCGAGCACCCCAACTAGTGAGTCTGTGCTCAAGAGCCCAGGAGCTGCAACTTCTGAGCCCATTCACCTACAGCCTGTGCTCCACAAGAGAAGCACTGCAAGAAGAAGCCCACACACCACAACTAGAGAGTAGCCCCTTCTAAGCAATGAAGACCCAGAACAGGCAAAAATTAATAAATAAATAACTTAAAAGAACCCTGTATGTAGAAAATGGGTTTTTCTCATACAGCATTTCTGATCTTCTGAAGTTTAACTATATTTATTACACTTCCTGCTTATTGTCTGTCTCCTCCTAGTTGATCCAACAGGACATTGGTCTTTGTTTTAACTGACAAATGTCACCAATAAACAGACAAATGTGACTTCCGGTTCAAGACGGCAGAGTAGAAAGACGTGTGCTCATCTCCTCCTGCAAGAGCACCAAAATCACAACTAGCTGTTGAACAACCATCGAAAGGAGGACACTGGAACCTACCAGAAAAAGAGAGCCCACATTCAAAGACAAAGAAGAAAGTGCAGCAAGACAGAAGGAGGGGCACAATCATGATAAAATCAAATCCCACACCCATTGGGTGAGTGACCCACAACCTGGAGAACAATAATACCAAAGAA